AAAAAAAAAAGTTCTAACCCCAAACCTTTGAATGTTAGTGTATATTATATTATATTATATTACATTACATTCTACTAATATAATAAATGTTGGACAAAAGAAATGTTCGTCAAGGTTTTTTCCAGCTTCTGTCCCTTAGAATTAAACAAGCCATTTCTTGTTGCTGTGTTTTTAAGACTTCAAAGACACTTCCTTCACATGTGAAATCAACATCAGAGTTCATCAGTCAGGATCACACACCTCATCTGGGTTCTCGCTAGTAATTCGAGCTGCAATGACATGTCCTCGTGGAGAGGGGGTGGTGGAGAGTCCATCAAAGTCAATAGGGGAGTCTCCCCATGGCTGCATCCCGTACATCACCCTGATGTCTTTAATGCGGTGAAGTGGGATGCCCATAGCGATCTGAATGACAGAACAAAAGTGTCACATAATGACCAAAAAAATAAATAAAAAGCACTATCAAATTTCACGGTAAAAATCTGCATACATTTAAAACAGTCCACAATCTCTATGATATTCTGGCCCTTTAATATGAATAAAATATGTAGAAGAAGAGACATGAGTTCATATTTCTTCAATCATTAAATATGCACTTTTCCCTCTAATTTCTACACTTCCTTGGTTATGCAATTGATGAATACCTCCCCACTGTGTTTCTCTCCCCCTGTTGCCCTTTGTCAGTCTCTCCTTTTCTCTCTCCATCAATTCCCCTCATTCATCTGCAGCAATCTTTGTGTGTTACATAAGTGCATTAACCCCCCTCTCCCACCCCCACTGGACCCATAGCACACTGGCCTCAGCCAAGTGACCTACATAGCAAAGACACTGGTCACATGACAAAGAGTCTGCCGCAGAGACAGTACTGTATTGTTCACTAGATACTGCCATTCTAGCGATTGATTAAAGCAATATTTTAGGTAAATGCAACCTTTTGTTCTATTGGCAGCATTTGTGGCCTGCTGATGATGACCACAAAAAAATACAAAAGTAAAAACAAAGGAAAAATGTACAGTAATGTACTTACAATAAGGCGACTGTAGCATAGGATTTCAATTTGAAAATTTGAAAATTAAGGTATAAAAGCAGATTCTTTAAGGTATAAAAGATAGAATCTTTCCTTTATTTTTACAACCCGATGGATGAGGGAAAAATAGTAAAAGCAATAACTAACTAAATAAATAAAACAGCAAAAGTAAAACCTGGAATAAATGAATGAATGAATGAATGAACGAACGCGTTGCATTGCGTTTTTTGTTTTGTTGTGTTTTGTCTTTTGTTTTGGTTTGGCCTGGCCTGGAATATTCCTTTAAAACGCAAATTCTCATACAGACCTGCAGTTGGGCCGTAGGCAGATTAACATCAGCCACCATCTCAGTACAAGGATGTTCCACTTGAAGACGAGGGTTGAGCTCTAGGAAGTAAAAGCTGCCGTCTTGACTGTAGAGATACTCCACTGTACCTGCACTCACATAGCCCACCATCTTCGCCAACCTCACTGCACACTGAAACAGACAGACGCACAGTTCTTCATTTCTACACATTTATTTTTTCTGTTTAAGTAACCCAGAGTTTCATGATGGCATATACTTTATTCATTCTTTTAGGAAAATATAGTATTAACATCGGACTTCTGCTGAATCTGATGTGATACCACAGTCAGTCATACCTTCTCCATATCCTCAAACACATCAGAGGTGGCAATAGTAGCCGGAGCTTCTTCAATGATCTTCTGATGCCTCCGTTGGACGGAGCAGTCACGGCCAAACAGAGAGATGGCGTTACCATACTGATCAGCCAGGACCTGCACCTCCAGGTGGCGAGCGTGTTTGGCCAATTGCATGACAAAGATGGGGGAACCTGGAACCTCAGTTTGAACCTGAGTAACACATAAGGAAAAGTACTGTGGTTAGTTTTGGAAAGTTAACAGGTGGGTAAAATTGTAGTGTGGTGGTGAAGAACAACTCTGACCTGTCTAAAGAGGTTGGGGAAGTCTTCTGCACCATTGACTTTCCGGATACCTTTTCCTCCTCCGCCTTCAGACGCCTTCACCATCACAGGGTAGCCTATTTCTTCTGCCGCCTGTCAATCAAAACATGCTCTATCACTGACTGGACTAAAGTATGAACGTCACACTGTGCTTGATGTAAGTGTATAGTATACCTTAAGTCCAGCCTCCACGTCATGTACACAGCCCTGCTCGTACAGCTCAGTAGGGACATTAATAATTCCTTTCTTCTGGTCATTCTCTGTCCATTCTACAGTCAGCCCTGTACAGACACACCAGCATGGTCAAAAACCAAACCCACAATCAAGATGGTAGTAAATGCTGGACAAAAAGGGGGTGTGATAGGTTTAGAACACCTGCCAAATTTAAACTCACATGACATATATCATAATATACACATTTTGATTTTGATCTTATTATGCTTCTCATTCTGTGTCTGACAGAGGCAGTACAAGCACAGGCAGGAGGGCTAAATATAACATGAATCAGAAATGAAGTTAAATAAAGATTCACAAGCCTTCATTACCCCAAAAAAAAGTGCTTCGTTTTGAAACGGACATCATTGAAAGGAACGATAACAGTTCAGTAAGTCAGATGTTGAACTAACCTGTTCCACTCCAGGGTAGCGTAGGGATGCCAGCTGTCTGGGCCACAATAGAAGAGGCAATCTTATCTCCAAGAGCCCACATAGCCTGACTAGGTGGACCTAATGAAAGATACCAACCACTAAAGTAAGAGCAATACCATCACAGTATGTGAATAATTTAATCAATGTGGTGTGGTAAGGCTCAGTCTCACCCATGAAGGCGATGCCATTCTTGTGCAGCAATTCAGGGAGTTTGGGGTTCTCAGAAGCATGACCCCAACCGGCCCATACGGCCTAAAGACAGGTACATTTACATTTATGCATTTAACAGACAGTTTTATCCAAAGCAACGTGTAAAAAGAGGAACACAGCAATTCGTCAAAGAGCCAACAAAATTCGTAATATACAATGCCAGGTTCATTAGACAAAAGCAAGTTAGAGAAGAGGAGAAATGCAGAGAAGACAAAAGTGAGTGCCAGTAAAGGGTCTAGCTAATCATGAGCAATAATTCCAATGCTTGCCTCAGAAGACGGATTCCCAAAATTATTTGTCAGCTAAACCTTTTTCTTGAATTATCCCCCAATATCTCAATAATAATTTAGCAATATATTCACATGTTCATAGCTCTCTGATGTCGGTTAATGGCCACATGACATGCAGGAAAACAAATATTTTATCTTTTTTATTATTATTATTACGTGTATTATATTTATTGTTTTTATTGTTTTATGTTGATATTTCATCATATATAACCGTGATTAAGATGTAATTTCTTGAGAAAAGAATCCTACAATGCAAATATTCTTTGTTGCTTTTATATTACTATTTTTTTTTTAACTCTGATTTAAAAAAAAAAAATAAGACAGAAACATATTACTATTGTAATAATACAACTCCGCTCTAAAAAAAAAAAAAAGAATATTTGATAAATATAATACTTTTATTTCACAATAAGTTACAATATTAATTTCACACATTAATTGTGCAACCTGATTTAAGTGTTAACTGAGTTAATAGCCACTTTATTTGCTTTGAACAGCAGCCATCAAACCTCACATGCATTTACCTGAACGGGAATTCGTTTTGCTATGTCCAAAATGAGCTCCACATTAGCATAGTTGTTGTTGTTTGTCCCTCCTGGGACAGGTACATAGTGATCTGCCATCTTGATGTACTCTGTGGACAGAGTTATACATATGTTTAACTAAACATTAATTGAGTACATTTGAGATTACAGAGCTATTCACGAATAATTTTCACCTCACTGAACTCTTTCTATGCTACTTAGGCCAGGCCTGCGCCGACAAAACTTACTGACATAGTTTAAACAATGAAGAGAATGACCAAGACATTCCTTGCTACATACATTTGCCAGTGCAGCGTGGCTTTTCCTGGATTACACTATGATGGAGCCAGGAGTGGCGAAAGGTGTCCTCCAGCAATTTTGTTAACTCTTACGATGTAACAGTTAAGCTCAGCACTTTAAACACACCTGCATTGGCCTTGAGGTCCTCCGGGGTAACCATGATGACAAAACGTATGGCCCGTTCATTCCGAAACATCTCATAAGCCCAGCGACGGATGGAACGCATGCACTTGACTGCAGCAATGCCATTGCTGGCAATGAGCACCTGTCACAACAAAATATGATATTCACAGCTGTCACTACACCAGGGTTGTTTATAGTTAAAAAAATAAAAAAAATTAAAAATCAGTTACATAAAAAAAAGTTAACTGAAATTAATAAAAAAATTAATAAAAAATCCTATTTTATTTCAACTAGTGTTAATTTCGTTAACGAAAAAACTATGACGAAAAATGTTCGTCAACAAGGTTTTTTCCCCTGACGAAAATGAGGCGATGAAAAGATGATAATAAGGTCATTAAACGATAACTGAGACTAAATGAACATGCAATATCGTTGACGAAAAAAGACGAGACTAAAATGTAATTAAAAGAACAAAAACTTTACCAAAAACCTTTTTATTTTTGTTAAAAAAAGTGGAGCCAAAATATTTTAGACTGCTGTACAAGACTCTAGTCTGAGACCTCAAATCCCCCAATCAGAGCTTTTCTGTTAAACGGATACATACGTAACTCTGTTCGGCTCTTTGCTTTATGCAATCACAGAAAACACCGACATACAGTACTGTATGAGTAAGCTGGACTTCAGCGATCTCTGTTTGAGGTGTTCTGCTTAAATGAAAGTGTTTTATTCAGCAGTCTGTGTCCTGTCATGGATCTCGACTGTATTGTTTGCTGATTTTAACGTTACTTACGCAACCTCTGTGCAGCAATAAGTCTTTTTGCCATTGTTTTAAAAGAGAAACATTAATGCAATTTGGAATTATTGGAATTACTATTAGGAATTTCTCTGTTATAATATTTGAGAGTAGGTTTTTGTTACGCTAGTTTTCATAACGTAGACAGAGCGAGTATCATGAATCCTGTCCATGGACTTCCGTTCGATCGCCACCAGAGGTCACCCTTCCGTTATATTGACTCTCACATTACACAAACTGTTGCATGTCATCCCGGACTACATTTCCCATGCTCCATTGCACTAATCACAAGCTCACCTGAAACCAATCACACACAGCTGCTACCAATAACACACACTATATAAATCAGTCTCACACCACCATTCAACGCCGAGTATTGTTTAGCGTTTATCACTGTGATAGCTGATAGCTACTTTACGGAGCCTGCTCTAGTTTTCATAGTTTAGTCATAGTCTTGCCGTGCCTTGCCTGTTTTCCTGGTTCCTGATTTATTGCCTGTGTATCTCGGATTACCCCTCTTGTCTTTCCCTGTTCAGATACTGTTTGCCCCTGTCTGGACCTTTGCCTTGTACCTGGATTATCCCTCTAGTCTCGCCCTGTTGGATTACGTTCGCCGTCGACTGACCCTCGCTTGTTTACCGGACTGCTCTTGCCTTGTCTTCTACATACCAGTTTGCCATTGTCTGACCCATGCCTGTTTCTGACCACGCCTTTGTAAATAAAGCCTTGCACTTGGATCCGCACGTCTCACGTCTCGTTCGCCCCGTAACAGCGAGTGTATATCTGAAGTCTTTGGTGTTTATTTAGCCTCTAATTGATATCCTGTGATAAATCTGTACACTAACGTTAGATGAGGTAAAATAAACCATGCATAGAAGTCGATATTCTATTGATTTGTGCTTATTGGTGAAAGAGCAACTTCTGGTGAAATGTACAAATGACAACAATCATTGCAATTAAAATTGAGCAAAATAATATTTTTATCATTTTAACCATTATACAGTAAGACAAAAATATGACGAAAATGTGTAAGTTTCCACTGATTAAAACTAGACTAAAATTCTCAGACATTTAGTCGACTAAAACTAAAACAGGATAAGATATGATAAAAACTAAAAGTTACATTTGACACATGACTAAGGCTAGATTCTTACATTTAATAAAGTCAATTACAATAATAAGACATTTGGTGCTGTTACCAAACAAATAAAATCATTATGAACAAAATTCATGCAATGCAGAGGAAACACAGAAGCTGCATCTGAAGAGGCATTTAGATGCATATACACACTGTTTAATGCAAGGCATAAATGCATTTAACCTGCAGTTACAAATGCATAAATAATGTTTTGATATTTTAATCTTAAAACGTTGAATACTGATATTTAAAATGATTTAAAAAATATATATAAAACGGTACTTTCAAATGTGAAATTAAAACCACCAGTAGGTGGCAGCAAGTCACTGTTAATAAGTGAGTCATCGTGATTGAACGGTTGATTCATTCAGGAACGAAACACTGTCATGTTTTTCAGAGATGCAAAACAGCGCTGTGGCTTTGTTTGGAACCATTTTTGTTGGCCAAATAGAGCAAAAAATAGGCAATATATGGTGTCCAAAACGTAAGTCTCTTAATATTAACTTCTTGTTCATTGAACTGTTGTATAAAATCAATTTCACATTTGTGATTTTTGCACAAAAAAAAATGGCACTCTTCGTATGATATTGATCAACTATATGAAATGATTATAAATATATACATTTTCTGTGTTTAAGCACTCATAAATCCTCTTATAATCAATGAAGCTGTCCATACACTGTATGATAAATGAATCTCTAATCGTACGTACATCTGCACTTTGTTTCTTATCGATGAGGGAATTCGCGAGTTTCAGTCTGAACAAAACTCTGGGGTTTCAGCGATGACTAATCTGAACGCCTCTGATTGGCTACTGCATTCCTAAGCTCAACAGAATCATGTGTGATTGGTTATAATGAGCAACGCTGTAAAAACGCGTAAAAATAAAATATGATGTAACATAAGCAGGTCTAAATGTAATACAGCAATCGAAACTTCATTATAAGTATTAAAGTTTTATTGAAAAACCAGGGGACCCCCCAAGTATATTTTTTGGGTGTTATGGGCCCCCTCTCAATTCGAACACTGGATAAAACTAATACCCTTGGCTCCTATTGAGGTCTATATATTGAGGTGTTATGAAGTGAAACGACTGGTCTGTGCAAGTTCACCAAATCGGACTCAGTTCAGACTGCTATTAAATATTTTTTATAATAATAATAATTTAATATAATAATTATTTAACAATGTATGATTAATGTATCAATTTACTAAAATCATGCTTATAATTTAGCGGAACTGCTGTTATACTGAAGGCATGCAGCTGATATAATCATAGTATGAACATTATAGCTGTTGTATGTTCGCATAACATAGACGCAGTGCAAGTGAGAGAGATGGCAATATTATTCAGCATATCAATTCTCTTCCATCTATTCAGAAAAAAAAAGATCCCCCTCTCTCTATTGATGCTTATCCAGCTAAATGAGCTCAAGAAAAACTGTTATCGCTCTTACACACACGGTCTTACTCTCCTCTATTCTAATAACCCCATTTTGAAAAAAGGAGGAGGAATTTATCCATCGCTCTGCTGTCGCGTGTGCGTTGGCTAATGTGTTAAGGGTGTTGCTGGGTATTAATTTTGATTACACCAAAACCTCCATCTGTGATTATAAAACTCATTTTCTCCACAGCTCGAGTATTCAGCACTCACAAAACACATGCTGGACACCTGCAACACACACACACACACACACACATTAAACTCATAAACAAACACATAAACTCACATTTGTGGCAGTTGTTATCTTTATGTAACATCTCGTTTACACAGGAGAGATGTCCGCCATCGCTGGAACCGTCCCACCTAAAACAGAAGAGCATCCCAATGAACGCAGCTCCTGTGCCCAAATTCCCATTCCTGAGAACAAAGTATGTCCGATTTGAAGACATGCGCCAACACCTTTGTTTGTCACTCAATGCATATTATCTTTTGAATGCTGGCATCAAACTTTAGTCTAAAAATCATTGATCCAGCATTAAATTCTGCAGCTTGTGCGCTGAAAAAACACTGAAACATGCAGTGTTGGGGATGAAACTACTCTCTTAATTCACTACAAAAACAAGAAGGTGGGTAAAGAGCGATATCTTTCAAAATATAATTTGCATTTATTTGAAAGCTTTATTTAGCAACAATTTCACAAATATGGATGCAAAAAGTAAAAAAAGAGATTAATTTGCAATACAGGCCTTTATGTATAATGCATTATACAGGTATTCATATTGTATTGTAATGCATTAAATATTTTCATAATTGTAACCAAAGTTAAAAATGCATTATATTTGCATGATTGCTTGTTATAGCTGAAATTGGTTGTTTGTCATGTGTTTTAATGCATTATACTTTCTAAAGGTATGTTCAATTAATAGATAAATATTATAATGCATTATAACGGCAGTTGCGGTTATTCATTAAATCATACCACGCATTATAATTTGCATATGTGACCCTGGAGCACAAAACCAGTCATAAGGGTCAATTTCTCAAAATTGAGATGTATACATCATCTGAAAACTGAATAAATAACCTTTCCATTGATGTATGGTTTGTTATGATAGGGCAATATCTTTTGTGCTGCAGGGTCATATTTAAAGGTTTATGATATGACTGTTCAAGTGTATATACAGCAACTTGAAGGAAACATTTATTTAAAAAAAACATTGACTTCAAAATTCCCTTGAGATATAACTGTGTAATTTACGTCGTAGAACGAAACACAAAAGTCTCTTTAAGTAATTTAAACTACAGGCCTTATTTTACAAATCCAGTATTCCTGAAACAAAGAGGAAACCCTTCCAGGTTCACCGTCAAACTTACATCAATGTTTCAAACAGAAACAGAAACAGAAACAAATATTTTCCTAGTTCCGTGAAAGTGTGGAGGTGCTGATGCAATAAGGAAATGGTTGAGTGTGGGTTCAATTAAAGAATTAAAGCGGAGAACCACAAAGCATCTCATTCAGCCCGAGCCAATCAACATCCGGCTCCGCCCACACGCTTCCTCAAAGCCAAAATCCACAAACAACAAACTTGTTGTTTCGCCTCAATTCACATTTGTTACTTCATGAATGGTGAACGTAATTTATGTTTGGGGAAATTAAACGGGAGGGAATGTGGAGAGCGGCACGATGACTTTGAGTTGGGTTTTGAAGCACAGTACTCTTGTGTGATTGTAATCAGATCAGAATCAAGCATCTGTTCTCAATCGCAGAGACTGTAATACAGCAGACATCAGCAATAACAAATAAAAAAAACAATACTCATTTTGAGCTGCCGACTCCAAAAATAGTATCTGTTTTGCTGTTTCACATCACTTTCTCACTAAATAGGATGCATTTCATAGCATTTGTGTGATGAAGAAGTCTTAATCAGCAGAAAAACACCACAAACACACGATTCCTGTCTGAATCTGAGCCGCAACTCTCTGATCAATTCACACGCATGACATGATTTGATGCTGATCCTGATTACAAGCTCAGAATTACGAGAAGAAAATGCAAACATGAGCAGATGTTTTCTGCATTTACTGCATTCAAACACACAGAAAATCAGATTTCATGGAAAAAAAAAATGTTTCTTTGACGTTAAATTGAGTATTTGAATGTATTTTTCTAGATGCATTTTGAATGCTTTTTGTCATTAAATTTTGAAAACTTTTTTTTGTTTTTGTTATTTTTATTAGTGCATTAATGATATAATCTGAACAATCTTCATTCTTACTTTGTGAAAACAAAAAGTGATGGAATTTTATTAATTGATATTTTTGAACACATCAAATTAGTCATTTTTTTTTGCAAATCAGCAGAATTAGTAAGTAAACGCAAACATGAGCCGGATGTTTAACTAAACCTAAACCTAAAAACTATGTCACTTGAAAAAAGTACAGTAAGTTTTATCTGAAATAAATTAAAATGTTAAAAAAAACCTGTAAACTTTAAATTTAAGTTTTAGCTAGTTTCCAACGCAACATTCTCATTTTAATTCATTTTATTTTCATTTCTCATTTCTCATTCAACTGAAATAGTAATTAACAAAAACTACATGGACATATTTAATGAAATTACGAAATTACTAAAATTGCAATGAAAACAGAAAATATAAAAATAAAAACTAATTCAAAATATGAACACAAAACTATAATAGTATCTCACTATGACACTAAAATAACTCTAATAACTTTGGTTTGACTTCATCCAATCAGTAAAAGTAATCAGTAATCAATCAGCAAACAAATACAGATTTTGTGTTTATGTGAAGTTCTTTGACATTAAACGGAGTATTTCAAGATATTTTTCCAGTCCTTTGATGTCATTAAAACGGAAACTTTTGTTATTTTGATAAGTGCATTAAATCTGATACATAAATATAGTTGAACTTATTTTGTGAAATAAAAGAACTGTACATGATGAGATATTTTTGAACTCAGAATCATGAATTTAGGTAATGTTCAACAGAATTTCTTTTTGACTTCTGCAATGAAGCGCACTAGATGCACCACTAAATATCAGCCTGCTTGTGTCTAAAGTTGAGTTCTAGATCATTAGATGTGAGATTATGGTGTTCTGTAAGTCGTTCTCCAGTATCTTGAAGCAGCACGTTTGCAGCCTTGTCTTTTCTGACTCTGTAGAGAATGATGCTCATGTTATCGAGTGGCAGAGGTTTTCCCTTCAACAAAGGCTGAATTGACACTGAGGGCTGATTTAGCCGTAATAAGCGGGATTTTACAGATCTGCTCTCCAGAGCGTCTCGCTCGCAGATAACCTGTCGTTTGAACAACTCACGGCTCTTTGGAAGGGCATTAAAAGCCTATCATTAAGACGCTGCGCAGAGAAATGATGCTCTGGGAACGCAGCCAGACAGATTCGGTGTTGCAAACATGAATACGCATTCAGAGACAGACTAACATGCGCTCAAAGATGCCTTTGTAGTCGACGTGGCCCGTGTTTGGATGGGCTGGATGAGGGACTTACCAGCAGAAGAGGCAGGAGGTGTGATCGTTTCCGTCCTCCGTTCTGGCCCATGTTGATGTTGTTATTGTCTTCTGAAACGAGAGCAAAAACTGATGAACTGTGGGAATCCAGCGGTTGTAAACACTGCAAAAAAATCATGTAAACATGGCTTGTAAACGCTGTTTGATCTGTGCAGATTTCTCTCCTGATTCAGACCAGAACACTTATTCACTGGAGTTGCAACATTGTAACATTTTAGTTAAAAACGTCTTTGTTTCAGCTTTTGTCTTCTCCAGATGTTAACTGATGGACTGGAGTGCTGTGGATTACTTGTGGATTATTGTGATGTTTTTATCAGCTGTTTGGACTCTCATTCTGACGGCACCCATTCACTTGCAGTGAGACACTGATGCAATGCTACATTTCTCCAAATCTGACGATCAAACAAACTCATCCTGATCTCGGATGGCCTGAGAGTGAGCACATTTACATTTCTGGGTGAGCTATTTCTTTAAGTGTTCTTTTGTTTAAAACAAGAACAAATATCTGCCAATTGGTTCCAAAAAAAAAAAATCAAGTTTATTTTTCAGACCCCACTGGCAGATATTTGTTCTTGTTTTGAGTTAAAAACTCACTTAATTTGTATTTATTTTATTTTTTTCAGAAAACAAAACTTCATTTAGCTTCTCCAGTAAATGTATCTTGATTTAAGAAACATTAAGATATTTGTACTGGAAAACAAGAAAGACAGAAATACTGAGTAAGAAAATCATTTTTGCAGTGAATTGCATGTGATGCAGTGCTTTATTCTGCAGAAACACACTTCAGACTGCGTGTCTGTGCATGCATGTGTCAAACACAGTGAGTGAATGCATGCATGTGAACATACACAGCTTGACCTTTGACCTAATGAGCAAAATGACACCAAAATGTACAGTGTTTCTCACACACTCTAAAAAAAGTCTATAAAAATATGTTTCAATGCACATCATTTCAAAGCAGCTTTACAGAAAATAATGCATTATAGTCGCATTTAGCAGATTAGAGCTGAATGATAATATATAGTTACATTTTGCGATGATTTTACATCTAACGCAGCTTATAGAAACACTGCAGTCACGAGTTGTCTTACTCAACAGCAAGAAAGACCATCAAAGCTTCTACATCACTTGTGCTCTAACATTTCCATCAAAACACAATGACGTCCTCCAGAGAGCCAAAGGAAACCTCTGAAAACAGAGAGAAACCGGAAGAAAAACACGAGATGATCGCACACAACACTTCTTAGAATTATGAAAATAAAATAACAAAAGCACATAGCAAAAATACAAAAACTTATGTTTATTAGAAATAAACTTTGATTTTAAAAATAGAATTAAAATTATTATTTATTTATTTGTTTATTTAAGCTTTGTAAATAAATAAGTTTTGGTTAAAGTATTAAAATGACTAAAACTAGAAGTGAAATAAAAATAAATTAAAGCTAAACAGAAATAAAAAAAAGAACAAAAGCACAAAACAAAAATACATAAACTTAAGTTTATTAGAAATGTAATTTTAAAAGTATAATTAAAATGTTGCATTGGCAAATTAAATAAATATGCTTTAGCTGAAGAACTAAAACTAGAATTGAAACATAAATAGAAAAATTACACAATGACAAAAGCGCAAGTTTATTAGAAATAAATGTTAAAATTCAAATTTCTGCTTTTTTCAAGATTTTTGAAAGTTGTAAATAAAGACTATTGGAGTACATTTAAAAAAATACTATTTTAGTCTTTCTACTTCAATATTTTACATTTAATTCAATGTGTTAATTCTGTTTGTAATCATTTAAGGAATTTACTAGCAATTTCTAAGTAAATTCTAGACCAAATTTTGTTCAGTCTAGAGAGAAATCGAGAGAAGTGGTTCTTAAAAACTGGTCTTAGGTCTGATTCATTCGCAGAACACCGGGCAAAACATGCTAAATGAACATTTAAAAAAAGTAAATAAAGAAAGGTGATTGCGACTTTTTATCTCACAATTCTTTTTTACTCACAATTCCGACTTTTTCTCTGAATTGCATGATATAAACTCGCAATTGCAACTTATAAAGTCAGAATGGCGTGACAGAAACTTAACAGAAAAGTCACACTTTTTTTTTTTACAATTCTGAATTCTTTATAAAGTCCAATTCTGAGGGGGAAAAAAGACTGATTTTTTTTTTTTTTTACAATTTCGTGATATAAATTCACAATTCTTATAAAGTTAGAATTGTGAAATAAAAATGTTTTTGTTTAGTCGTGGAAACGGACTTCCATATATAATCATGCATAGTTATGATAGTAAAATAAATTCACTTCCTTTATTTTTGCTCAGAAATGAAGCTCTTTTTTTTGGTTTGTAATGTTGTAAAGGTCGCGACCCGCTGCTTTAATGTGCGACCGTCCCCGGTCACTGCACTAATGTCTTATGGTTTGCTGAAGCTGAGAAGTTGAGCGTGTTTTATAGCGGTAGTGCTGTCATCTGAATCAGCCCCCATGATGCCTCGCTGCATGAGGGAGAGCAGGATCTTACTGAGAAAATGCATGTGAACACAAAGAGAGGAAAGGATCACCCATAACAACAACAACACAAAGCACATCGCTATCAATATCAGCAGAAAACTGATCAGATATCATACGGGTTTAGTGAAGAAAGACACATTTCTGCTGTAACGACATGTGATGTGTTTCAATTCTATAACAAGTGTTGTTACTGTTAACTAAAAGGAAATCTAAAACTATTAAAAAAGGTTTTGGGTAAAAGAAAAAAAACTGAAATTTAATATTAGTTTAATATATTATAAATATTAAATGAAATGCTTAAACTAAAATGTAAGTTTATTAGAAATAAAAAAATATATATTTTTTTCAATTGAATTTAAAAATGTTGCCTTGGCAACTAACTGAAATAAGCTTTAGATGAAGTACTAAAAATCCTAAAACTAGAACTGAAATATAAATACATTAAAGCTAAATAAACATATAAAATATATAATAAAAATGACAAAAGCACACAATAAAATTACAAAAAATTATTATAAATAGCCTTTAATTTTTTAATTTAATTTTAAAACTAGAATTAAAAATGTTGCCTTAGCAACTATCTGTATTAAATAAGATTTAAAGTACTACAATTATTAAACTAGAACTGACATAAAAATAAAGTAAAACAAACAAACAAACAAAAAACAAGAGTACTAAATAATTAATAAGCGTTAGTTGAAGTACTAAAATTACTAAAACTAGAACTGACATAAAAATAAATTAAAGCTAAAAAGAAAATGTAAAAAATAAAAATAACAAAAGCACATAACAAAATTACAAATACTTAAGTCTATTGGAAATTAAATTTTTACATTTTAAAATTGGAAATAAAAATGCTGAAGCTAAAATTAGAAGTCAAATAAAAATAAAGCTAAACAGAAATATAAAAAAAAAACTGAATTTTTTTCCCCTGAAATCCTGTAATGTAATACTAAAATAACACTGTTCTGTAATTCTAACAAAAAAATAATGACTATTTTCAAGCAAAATACAAGACAGAAAACGTTTTTATCAGGTTGGTAGTGATGCTCAATCAAACAAAGCTCTAGAGTCAAAGTGTTTGGGGAATATTTGCTCAAACCACACATTCCCATCAGACACTTAGTGAGGCACCTTCCTCCAACGAGTGCAAGACAGCCACCGCCAGCCTGACGGAGAGACAAAACGACTGTCTGGCTCTGCGTTTCATCAGAGGACTTAAAGAAGGAGGAGGGGGAGAGCAGAAGAAGTTCTTTTGAAACGAAGCGAGCGCCAAACGCCTGTGCCCCTGAGCCCCCCGGCTCATTATCTGACTAAACGAACACACACGCCCAAGACGCTTTCATCAGAATCCAGATCCAGTGCTTTTCTGGAATGCACTGCACTCCCAACACAAGCGCTCTGACGGACGCTGCCCGGGCTTGCCTCTGTTTGACTCGCCGACCCGGGTTATTAATCTTATAATGACCACATCATCTAAGATAAATACACAGAGTATTATTATCCTTATCATTAACAGCCCTGAAATATCTGTTCCTAGGCGAAGCGAGAAGGTGAAGATATTATTACCGATTCTGCCACAGAAACCCATTTACCATTAAAAACACTCAAAAATGATTTCATTTAAACAAGTTACTTTGATTTAATGCCACTGTATCAGGTTCCTCTTTGAAACATGATTTCTTGTTAAACTGACTCGAAATGGTTTCTCTTTGGCTTCTTTTTAAGGCAAGACACCCCAGGTGAATAGGGTAATAATTTAATTATTAGATATCCTAATACTTGCCTAGTTGACTGATTACATTAAGAATTGCAAAAAATGTTTTGTATTACAAGTTTTCTGTTTAATATGCAAATGGGGCATTATCTACAGTAATTAAAGCTACACAAATTTTCACCATGCATTTAAGAGTGAAATGTTATATAAATCAGTGTGAATGACATATAAACAAAACCCTCTATAAAAACCTTCAGAATATAGATGGGAATAAAGCTGTAAGTTTTGGTGTATGCAAGTGCTGCTGAAGTGGAGAAAAAACTCTTTAAAGTTATGTATTGGAACTGAAATCTGCAGATGCAAATAGATAAAGTGTAAAAATAAAACCAGGCGAATGATATATGAACAAACCTATCAGTAAAAACCCTCAGAATATAGATAGGAATAAAACTGTAAGATTTGGTGTATGTAAGTGCTGCTGAAGTGGAGAAAAATCTTTAAAGATATGGATTGGAATTGAAATATACTGATGCAAATAAAAAAGTGCAATACAAAAAAAAACACTTAAATGTGTATTTTGGATGCTTTCTTTCTACTAGTCTGAAACAACATGTTATGAACAGCCCAAAATTGACCAGTGTATGAAAAAACTGTTTTTACCTGTAGTATCTTGCCATAAAAGTAGCTCAATCAGAAAGGGCTGGTTAACTGTGTTAAACTGAATTGACGCGTCTGCGCTTAGAGCAAAAGTATGTGTAATGAGTGAACATGAATGACAGATTGGTTTCTGCGAGGTCTGTGTGGGCCGATCATAAGCTGAACAGAC